TTTAGCGTTAAGCCTTCTTAAGTACTTACTTAAGTAACTTATATACTTCTTTTAGCTTATTAGTAGTAGTAATAGCTACTTCTATTTTTAGACTAAGAAATATTCTTATAAAAAAATTTAGGTATCTCCTATAATTTATATAAAATAGTATTTATTCTATAAATTCTAACAATTTATTATTATATACTATTTATACTATAGATAGTAGTAATATCTAGTTATTCTATTATTAATTAGTATAGATCTATAGGTAGGTTTTTATTATTTAATTTATTCGTTTAGTCTATCTATCTATCTACAGATAGTAAGCTATTAATAGCTTCCTCTTTATTCTAATTACAGCTAGTAGTATTATCTAAAAGTTTAATGTAAAAAGCTTATCTCTATTACTAATAATTAACTTTAGGATGCTATAATATCTAATAATTTAATTATTAATAATATATACTAGCTATACAGCTATAAAGTCCTTTCTAAAGGTAATATACTTAGCTTACTTTATAAATTAATTAACTACTACAAGAATTATATTATAAAATACTTATATAATAGGGTCTCTTAAGACTAGTAAGCCTATAATAAAGTCTATAAAGATATCTAACTATAGTATATTAAGTAGCTCTATTGCTTACATTTCTCTATAGGGTGCGTAGGTACTATATTTATTTTTCTAATAGTTTACGCATTTAGTAATAAAAAAGGTAACCTTATCTTTTATATTAGGAAACTTATAGTTTTATTTAATTAGTTTTATAGTTCTAGTAATACTAAGGTAACTATATATAAGGTTATTATAGTATTATTAGATAATTACCTCTTATAATTTTTTTAGTACTTTACTTATAATTTTTATAATTTAGTTTAATATTTTTACTAGTTCTAGTAATCTATTTTTATTAAACTTAAGTAATATAGAATTAGTAATTAACTTAGTTCCTATAATATTATATTATTAGCTAAGTACGTCTACTCTACTATTCTCTCTTCTTAGAGTATATATAATCTTAAACTTATATTATCTAAGTTCTTTAGACTATTAGACCTATTATTAGTTAAGTACCTTAGTAGTTATAAAGTTAACTAAGTTCTTATAATCTATAAATATTATAAGTTCTAAGTAGCTTTTAGCGTATACTCTCTAATACTTTAAGCACGTAATAATAGCTAATAGTTCTTTATTAAAGATATTATAGTTTTCTTCTAGTCCTAAGAATTTGTAAGAGTAGTAAGTAATAAGATACTATTTACTTTTATATATTTAACTAGCGTATCTATCTAGCGTAAGATCTAAGGCGTTAGTCTTAAAGCATAGTAGTTATCCTACTTAGAATATATAGAAGTATAGTAATTCTATACTTATATTCTTAAGCTTCTAGAAGACGTCTTTAGCTTTCTTACTCTACTTAAATAAAGTATCTTTTTTTATAAATTTTATTAGTAGAATAGCAATCTTAAAAAAGTCCTTAATAAACTATTAGTTAAAGTTTAAGAATTCTAGGAAGAATTATATATCTTTAATTATTTTAGGTATTAGCTATTCTTTAACTACTTTAATTTTTTCTTTACTTATATATACTCTATTAACCTCTATAATATATTCTAAGAAGTTAACTTCCTTCTTATAGAATTTACACTTCTTTAGTTTTACGCGTAGATTATACTAGTCTAGACACCTTAGTACTATATAGACATATTTAATATAGTCTTCTTTATTTTTAGAGTAGACAAGAATATTATCTAAATATATAATAATAAAGATATCTAAGTATACTCTTAATATATTATTAATAAGTTCTTAAAATATTACTAAGGCGTTTATAAGCCTAAATAGTATAATAGTATATTTAAAATATCTATATCTTATATAGAATACTATCTTCTATTCTTTACCTTTCTTAATTTTAATAAAGTAGTATCTATCTTAAAGATCTATTACTATAAAGATCTTTACTTAAGATAGCTAATCTCTAAGTTCTATAATATTTAGTAGTAAGTATTAGTTCTTAATTATAATATTATTAAGTTTCTAGTAGTTAACATATATTTATAGTAGTCTACTCTTTTTTAGTATAAAAAAGATAAGAAATTCTACTAGTAAGCTTAAAAGTCTAATATATCTATTTTTTAGATTTTTTTCTAGTTTCTCTTTTAGAATTTTAAGTTCTACCTTTAATAATTAATATATTAGTCTAAAAAGTAGAGTTTTCTTTTTTTCTAGAACTATCTTATAGTTCTAAAGTTAATATTTTAGTAGATCTTAATTATCTACTACTTTTATAAAAAGGTACTTAAAATCTTTATACTTTTTTAGAATCTTAAGAGTTACACGTTTCTCTAGTACTCTAACTTTATAATCTAGAAGTACTTTACTAGTATCTATTAAGTTAAACCTTTATTTCTTAAAGCTGTTTTTATTTAAGAGTTACTTTCTTTTAGTAATATTATTAATCTTCCTCTTATCTACTATTATAGTTATTAGATATATAGGCTAGCTTATAGATGCGTCTAAGCTATAGTACTTAAATAAGAACTTTTTTAACGTCTAGTTAATCTATAAGTTATATTCTTATAACTAAAAAAGTCTTAATATAATATTATAGGTAGCTAATCTAAAGACGTCTAAGTTAATCTTCTTATAGTAGTCTTAGATACTAAGTATTACTCTAGTAACCTTATATATAATCTAGTTTCTACTTAGTATAGGCTAACTATTAGTAATATATAGTAGGTAGCTTTTTTCTTTCTTTAGTAGTCTTAGTCTAGCTAAGAGTACTACTTAAGTAGAGAGATAGTTTACTTATAATTCTAAGTCTACTAATACTTATATCTATCTTCTATTAAGCTTCGCAGGAAGCGTAAAGAGTATTAAGAAGTTTATACTATTAATCTCCTTTCTAGAGTTAAGTATATTAAGCGTTTATTTAAAAAAGACTATATACTATAACTATAAAACTTCTTTATAACTATATATAGTTTATATTTAATATTAAGGTACGTATGCTATAAAGGCTAGTTACACTTCTATATACTAGTTCTATCTTCTAAAGTCTTCTACTACATAATATATATCTATAAAGTTTCTTATAGGTCTTTATAACTATAAAAGTATAAGTAATATCTCTTATTCTATAAGTATATAGTATATTAGTCTTTAGAGTAGTTAAACTATTAAAAAGCATATACTAGTATTTTAGCGTACTTACGTAGGAAGTATCCTAAACTATCTTTATCTAAGTAGTAGATAGTATAGTAGTTATATATATACGCTATCTAACTTATATTACTATATAGCAGGTTCCTTAGGTTAAGCTAGTAGTGCGTTTCTTCTTTACGCTTTTATTATACGTTATTGCGTTATTATCTAGCTACAGCACGTTCTTACCTTTTAGCCTATCTTTATATTTATATAATTAAATAGGCTATTTTAGCGTTAAAATCTTTATTCTTAAAATAATAGTAGGTTTTATATTTCTTTTCTATTAGTTTACTTACGTAAAGATTAGTCTGCTATTTAATTTCTTTATAAATTTCTTATTTCTTACTATTAAATAAGTAGTATATAGGTTTATCCTATAAGGCCTTAGCTTTATATACCTATCTAAATAGTTCTTTAGTATTATAAATACTTTATATCTTAAGTTCTTTAAAGAGTTCTTAGTACTCTATAAATTTCTTAAATTTATTATAGAATTAGTTTTTAGTATTAGGGTATTTATATTCTAGTTTACTAAGTTACTAGTATAGTACGTCTAGCTTAAAGTCTAGATCCTCTAGATACTAAATAACTTCTGTCTTATTACTAGTAGTAGGTTTATTCTATACTTTAATAGCGCGGTTAATCTAGTTAAGTTTATTAAGTATTAGTAAGAATTTTATAATATCTATAGAGAGATTTTCTTTATTATACTCTACTTAGCAGGATAGGTTATAGAAGTTTTAGTATATTACTACTATAATATCTAGTATTTTATAAGTATACTTAATAGGTAGCTTATTAAGGTATTAGAGTAGTTTATTAATTTAAGATAAAAGTATCTTTATTTATTCTTCTAAGATATAGAGTATAAAAAGTTAGTTTTCTTTTTTAAATATAGCTATTTTACTAAACTTAGTCTAGTTAATTTCTATAACTTCTAGGTCTTTAGAGGACTCTAGATTAGAAGTATCTTTATCTAAAGATAGTTCTTTTACTTTAGTAATAGTAAGGTCTTTAAGACTATTAATTATTTTATTATCTTCTATATCTAACTTAATATATAGTTAAGTAATAATATTCTATTTCTTAGTATTATTATTAGGTACTGCCTAGTAAATAATATTTAACTATCTAGTTACCTTACTTTAGCTTTAGCAGTCCTGTGCTATATAGCCTTTCTTACTATAAATATAGTAAGAGAACTTCTTCTTACTTTTCTTATTATACTAAAACTTTAGCTTTCTAAGTCCCTTATTAAGATTATTAAGGTGTATAGGCTTAAGTCTATAAGTCTTATATTATTTTAGGATCTAGAGTACGTAGCTTTACTAATATTTTTAGTTAGGGTACAAATATTAAGAGTTTTAATATAGTTAATTATTTATATCCTAGAGTACGCGATTCTTAGTATATAGGCGTTCTTCTAGCTTTAACTTATAAAGTTTATTATCTACTTAAATAGCTTTATTTATAAGTTTATTAAGCGTCTTAAAGCTAAATCTGCTTTTTATAAGTTTTATACGTATAGCTAGTTTAAGACCTTATTAGTATATTTATATTAAAGCGTTATCGTCCTAATTAATTAGCGTCTTATACTGCTAAAATTTAGTTATATAGTTAGTAGTAGATTTAGTTTATTATAATTTCTAGATTTTTTACTTAGTAATTATATCTTCTTTAAAAGGTAAAAATACTTCTTATATTTTAGTCTTAAAGGTAGTCTAATCTTTAATAAAGTTTATATTACCTCTATTAATAATAGTTATATCTATATAGCGTTAGATAAACAAATTAGCCTATTTTTCTACGTATCTTTAGAAGAAGATAGAGGCCTAAACAACTTTATCTTTATTTTTAATCTTATCTCCTTTAAGGTAGAAGTATTAGTTAACTTAGAGTAGCTATACTTTAAGCTTATTATAGTTACTATAAAAAGTATTAGACTTATTAGCGCAAATATTAGTTCCTCTAAAAGTCTAGAAATTAGCAGAGGTATCTATTATAACGTTACTTATCTTAAGAGTATTTAAAGTATAAAGGTTATCCTTAGATAACCTAAGAGTTAGTTCTTAGAGATAGAGTAGGCTGCAATAGATAGGTTAGTATAATAGTATAATTAGTAGATTAATATAATATTATAAGGGTTATATAAGAATAAAGTATAATTCTTAGATTAAATACTAGAGTCTTATATAAAGTTAAGTTAAATATACTAAGCTATAAGAGTTTAGTATCTAAGCTATATACTAATAAGTATTGCGCTTAGTACTAAGCGTATAAGTGCTTATTACTAAGCAATATAGTACTAGTTTAGTTATTAGCTAACTAGTCTTACTTACTACTAAGTATTTCTTTCTAGACTAGCGCGTAATACTTATTACTAAGCAGTTACGTGACTACAGCGTAGTTGCTGTGCTATAATTCTTTAACTGTGCCGCTTAATCCTCTAAAGTAATTACGCTTACCCCCGTCTCCTCCTAGGTGTAGATCGTAACATACTACTAATAGTAGTCTGCTGCTACTACTTAGTTACTTAAGTAAACTACCTCTACTATTAAAAGGCCTACTAGACTATATATCTAGTATCTTATTAAAGAAGTATTTTATCTATTATTACGCTATAAACTCTTTTACTAATAAGACTAGTACTAGTAAATAGAAGCTACGCTGTTGTTACTATATAAGTAGTACTTCTTAGTTATAATAAACTATATTAATATATCTTTCTTCTATTTTAAAGTAGAAGAATAATATTATTATACTTAGTTTTTTACTACTTATAAAGTTAATTAACTAAAATATAATACTTTAAAAAATAGGTAGTTTAAGAGAGCTACTAACTTCTTTTTAGAAAAGTATATATAACTTTAGTTATACTATCTATATACTAAGAGCTTTTAAGTCTATTAAGTTATATTAATTATATTCTTATACTTACTAGTCTCTATTTAATAAGTATTTTAAGTTTACTTTACTTTTTAGCTTTAGTAGTTTTTTAGTAGTATTTCTAAATCTCTTAACTAGTAGTTAAATTTTATAACCTTTTAGAGACGTAGTAAGAATAAGACTTAAGTTCTTTACTAATTTATTCTTTTTAGTAACTTTTAGTCTACTTAGTAATAATATAGAAGATATATAATAAAAACTATCTAGTTTCTAGTTTACTATACTACTAATAGCACTAAGTATTAGTTATAGAAGTAATTATAGAAGTTAGTCTCTTTTAAAGTTACGATAATATTTACTTAATTATCTCTTCTTACTAGTATAAAGTATTTAAAGTAATAGCTTTATACTATTTTTATTAAGTATATAGTTTAATTTACTATAATAGCTTAACTAGTAATAGTAATAAGAATTTTCTAATCTTAGAGGTAACTTAGATAATAAAAAAAAATTATAGTTTAAGTATACTATTTATAAGTATAATTAAGAAATTTAACGTAAAAGTAACTATTTACTAGATTATTATATTTACTATAAAGCTAATATACCTATTAAGCGCTATAGTATATAGTATTAGTATAGTATATATAAGTAAGCTAAGTTATCTTTTATAAGTATTATAACTAATAGCTTAGCCTATAGAGATTATATAAGTAGTCTTCTTTAAGATACTATTAATAACTCTTATCTTATAAGCCTCTTATAGAGTTCTATTTTAAGAGCTATAAATTTTTCTAAAATAAGGCTAGTATCTTATAGCTAGAGCCTACGTAGTTATTTAGATCTTAGTCTTTTCTAACGCAACTTAGTAAAAGTAGTTAATTTTAATTTTTAAGTAACTACTTATATATAAGTACTTTTCTACTATAAAAATATAAACTTAGAAAGACTTACTATTATAAAAAAAGCTTAGAAGCTTAATAAAACGTTTTATAAGAAGCTTATAGAAAAGAAGTTAAAAATATATAGTTATTATAATAAGTATTAGTTCTATATTAAGCTTAACAAAGATAGCTATTATAAGTTCTATATAAAAGATCTAAAGTATCATATAGAGATACTGCTATTTAGTATAGTAAACAAGACTAATTTTAGTAATATCTTAGCTTATTTTTTTTTAAGCTAAGCGTTATAGAAGAGATATTTATTACTTATATATATATTATTCTTAATATATAGTAATACTAAGGGTAATAGTATAAGTACTTAGAGTATATTTATTACTTCTTTTTTATAATACTAGAAAGATCTTTAGGTCTAGTTTACTTCTACTTTAAAACTTAAATATTTTTATTTTAAAGCTATTTAGAAAGAATTAAGTAAATAATAAAAATAGTTATATTAAACGCTAGTTTATTAAGAACTACTGCGTTATAAAGCGTAACTATAGGTAATAATACTTACTTTACGTTACTAGAAGTAGTAGAAAATAGCTTATATATTTTAACTACAGGTATAGGTAGTAAAGAGAATAATTTTTATCTTACTCTAGAGAGTCAGACGCGCTTTATAAGTATATATAGCGCGTACTTTATTTCTCTAAAGAACGTATACCTCTAGTTCTTATTATAGAACCTTTTTCTCTAAGCTAGTAACTTTAATAGTAGTAGCCTTGATAAAAATCTCTTCTATTATCTTAAGAGTAAAAAAAGAGTATTCTTTACTATACGCTTTAAGTTTACTATGCTTATAACTTTTCTATATTACTTACTTATAACTTATAATATACTTATACTTTACTTTATAATAAAGAGTTATAATAAAAAGAGTTATAGAAATTATTAGACTATTACTTTATTATTATAAAAGATTTTTATATTATTAAGATAAAAGTAGAAAAATCTTTTACTTACTTATTATAGGAGTAAATAGATATTATTATAATATATTATTATTATCTTTCTTATCTCTTACACGCTTAATACTTACGTATTATATACTATATAATAATATATTATATACTACTTATATATAACTTATACTCTAATATAGTCTTTTATCTTATTTCTAAGTATATTTTAGAAACTATTCTTAAAGATATCTCTCTATATAAGTAAAGTAAGCGTAATAAGCGCGTAGTAGTTAAGCTTACTATACTAACCTACCTAAACTACGTATAAAACGTAGCTACTAGTAAAAAACTATATAAAAAGTCTAAATAGAAGCGCTATACTTACTATATTAAAAGTAATTATAGTAATTACTTTTTAGTAACTTTTTCTTTTAATTCTTTAGATATTCTAAATCTTTACTAATAATTTATAAGTTCTTAGAGATATAGTAGCTAAGCTTAACTATCTATATAGTCTCTACTATAAGTATAATACTACTATATTAAATACTAATAATCTTAAGATTAGTACTATTTTACTAGATACTAGCTCTAAGCTTATATATTATTAGTACTAATTTAACTTAGAGCTCTTAACTTACTACTATACTACTATTTATATAAGTACTTTAATAGAAGTTTCTACTTAAGTTTTTATAACTAGTTTAGATTTCTTAAGCCTAATCTTAGTTAAGTAGTATAGAATTACTAGCTCTTTAGAGTAGATTATTAAGTATATAGTATACTTAGTATATACTTAACTTATAAGTTCTATTTTTTAACTTTATTTTACTAATTTATATTTATAGAATAGTATAGCTACTAAAAGTAGTAATTTCTCTAATTCTAATACTAGTTTTAATAAAGAGAGTAATTATAATACTACTAAATTATAGGCTAAAAAAAGTAAGCTTACTAGTAGTATAAATAATAGTTCTAAAGTTAGTAATAGTAATAGTAGTAAGAGTAGTAGTAGTAGTAGTAGTAGTAGTAAGAGTAGTAGTAAGAGTAGTAGTAAAAGTAAGAGTAAAGAGAGTAAGAGTAGTAAAAGTAGTAAAAGAAGTAATTAAGTATTTTTATAAGTTTTTATATTTTATTTTTTTTATATATATAAATACTCTAGTTTATTTATATATAAATTACGCCTTTTATACGCTATAAATAAGATCTTTTTACTCTTTTTTTTTACTTCTTATACTATACACTTTACTTAAAATTATAAATTAAGTCTTTTATATTTTTAAAATCTAAAGTAAAAGTTTAGGTATTTTAAAATTTAATATAGCTCTTTTAGCGTAGCTAATATTATAGTTAGCCTTTTTTTATTTTTTTCTCTAGAATTTTTTTAACTTTCTAAACTTCTTATCTTTTTAGAGTTATATTAAGTAGTTAAGTATTATCTTTAAAACTTTCTTTAGATTTCTATTATTTTAAAAAAAATATATAAAATATATTATAAATATAGTAGCTAAGTAGTAGCTATAAGTAGTAAGCTTATACTTTAATTACTTTTTATATCTAAAAAAGTCTTATAAACTTACTAAATAGCTTCTTATATAGTTAGTAAAGTAAATTAATATATTTTATACTTAAAAGTACTAAGTCTTTTTAATAAAATACTTTAAGTTTATATTTTTTATTATAGTAATAGCTTTAGTATTTTTATACTCTACATAGTTATTCTTTAGCTAATATATATACGCTATATATATATTATACTCTTTAATAGTATCTAGTACTTCTCCCTTTAGCTAGCTATCTTTAGGTAGTATAGAGAGTAATAAGTATTTACTATATAAAGTATAGAATAGTATTAACTTTATAGACTTATAGATAAAGTTATTATAAGTAAACTAAGTAGTAAGTAATAATAGAACTTAGTTATACTATATATTAGTAGTAAATATTTAAAGATACTACTCTATAATCTAATTTTAGCGTTTAGTTTACTTATTTATTTATAAATAGAAGGCTATACTAAGCCTGCGCTTTACTTATAGCTAATAGTAAATTTCTATTTAGAAAGTAGAAGTAAAAATTAACTTTCTATTTAATATAATACTTTTCTAAATACTATACTATAAAATAATATAATTAAAGTAAGATGTAGTAAATTACTTTATATCTTATATTTTTAAAGTAGGTATATAGATTACTATTTTTAAGAAGTAGTTAACTATTACTAGTACTATATTAAAGACGTAACCTAAGTTATCTTTTACTAGTAGTAATCTAGTAATAAAATTAAGTAATACTTCTTTAAAGATATTATCTAGTATTAGTAGTAATACTAGCTTACTATATCTACTATACTTTAGAGCTTTACTTCTTTAGTATACTATATAAGTCTATATATAATTTTAATTATCTTAACTTAGTATCAGCTAATAGTATAGTTTACTAATTAGCTTAAGTATTCTACGTACGCTAAAGTAGCCTACTATTTATATATTATAGTTCTAAAATAAAATTTTTTACTTAATAGTAAGTTCTTCTAGAATATATATTTTACTATTATATCTTAAGACTTAATTTTTATTAATATACTATATAGATATATCTCTATAAGCTTAAGTACGTATTAGTTACTTAGAGTTTACGCTTTTCTTTTAAATAAAAGCGTCTTTCTACTAGAGTTAGAGTAGAACTTCTAATAATATTTCTAACTTAGCTAGTATAAGTTTACTACTAACTAGTACTTTAGCTAGTAAGTATAGTACGTATAGTATATACTCTATAGCGCTAGTAGTAAAGACTTTTATAGTACTCTATATATTAGCTATATACGTTTTATACGTACCTACTAAGCTTAGCTTAGGCGTAGATTTTCTTACTCTACTCTACTTTTCTTTTACTAGAAGCTTATTTTATAAAGTAAATAATAACTAAGTTAGTAAGTTATTTTTTTACTTATAGTTTACTCTTCTTAAAAGACTATTTACTAAGTTAAAATAGTTTAAGTAGTACTTTATCTTAAAATTAAAAGTACTTAAGTAAAGCGCTTATTATACTTAGTATAGATTTAGTTTTTAAACTATACGTATAGAGTATAGATTATTATAATTTATTAGAACTTAAATAGTCTATTATACGCTTTCTAAATAACATCTCTATTATTTAAAATAGTATATAATTACTAATAGTTTAAGATTATAAATCTTATAGTTTAGTTCTACGCTTTATAGCTTACGTAAACTAAATATAATTAGATACTATTTATTATCTTTAAAGAATTAGGATAATATACAAGAAATAGTAAATATAAAAGTATTTATCTTAAAGTAAATTATAAGTATAGTATTAAAGTAGTATAAAATAAGTATATATATAAACTAGTCTTTTAGCGCTTTAAAGGCTTCTATAGTAGTTTTATTCTAGTAAAATATCTAACTTCTCTTAAGAATATTAGTAAGAAGGGCTATTACTATAGTATAGCGTATAATAAAGTAGTAATAGAAGTTAGTAAAGCCTAGAAATAATTATAGTTCCTTAATACTAGTTAGAGTTAGCTATTTAACTATAGTTATAACGCGCGTAGAGTTTATATATATACTACGCCTTATAACTATAAACTCTAAAAAATAAACTTCTAGTAAGGTAAATATATATTTTTTAAAGTTAATATATAATTCTACTTCTTTTAAGAATTAAAGTATAAAGTATATAAAGTACTAGTATATTATAATATTTTTATTATATAAGTATATAAAGATATTATTAAAATAAATAATATAGATATAATCTAAGTAGGCGCTTAAAGCCTTATTAATATAGGCCTAGAAGCTAGCTAGCGTATTAGTAAGACTAAAAAGTATAACTAAGTACTTAAAATAGCTATATTACGTTCTAAAAGTAGTTTTCTATTTATCTTCTACTTTAATTCTAATATAATAGTATATATCATTTAAATTAAGAGTTATATAGTATTATATACTTAGTAAGTAGTCTAGCGTCTCTCTAATTTATAGAAGTAAGTAATAATTCTTTATAGTAATACTATTAAGACTATAGTAATAAATATAAAAGTAAAGAGTACTATCTTTTTTAGATATAAATAATATAAAGACTCTAGTAAAGCTAGTACTATATTAGATTTAGCTATAATATAGAGCTTCTTTAATATATTTATAGAGTAGTTAGAGCTTATATAAAAAAAGAGTATATAGTAAACTATAAAGTAGCTTTTTACTTTTTATAATAAAGATTATATAGTCTAAACTTCTATATTATAGTAGAATCTTTATATTATAGTTATTAAAGATATCTATATATTTTAATAGTTTATATAGAATATAAACCTTATATACTATATTTATATAGTATACGCATACTTTTAGCTCTAACTCTACGCTACTTAGTAAAAGTATCTCTAGTAAATAGCTATTTAAGTTAATATACTTAGCTTCTCTAAAGAGTTCTTTTATTAATACTAAGTATATTTATACTTTTATATATCTCTAATACTAAGTTTAGTATTTATAGTTAATAGTAATATCTTTTTACTTAAGAAATAAGTTCTCTAATAGTAAAAGAAGGCTTTTTTTATTAACTTTATATATAGTAGTATTAACTTAGTATTTTATACTATTATTATTACTAAAGCGTAAGTTTAGTATATATATAGTATAAATATCTTATTATTATAGCTTAATTTAGCTTAACTTAGAGAGTTTAGCTTTCTTAAAGAAGATATAACTTATTTCTATAGTATACCTTTAACTAATTAAGCTAATATTAGCTTATAAGTTTAGAATTACTCTTAACTTATATTTTAAGGCTATATTTACACTTACATAATATATATACTTTATACTTAAAGTATAAAGAGTTTAATACTTATTTATAAAATTAAGACTTAAACTCTAGTAATTAATTACTAATTACTACTAAATCTTAGTAACTTATAAAGACTTAATTATATTAGCTTTTATACTTAAGAGGAATTTATAAAAAATACTTACTATATATAAATATTGCTTCTAAGTTATACTCTAAAAGAAATAAAAATAAAGCTCTCTTACTTCTTAACTAAGCTAATAGAGTAGACTAAAAGATAAGTATATAATTACTTACTATAAATATTAAAAGAGAGGTTACTATATAAATAAGTACTAAAATAGTAACCTAAACTAACTACTTATTAGTATTAACTATATAGAAAAAGGTTAAGCTTCTCTAAAATCTTAGAATTAGTAAGGCGTATGCTTATAAATATCTTACTAGTATAAAAAGTTAACTAGTTTTTTAAGACTTTTAAGTATATAGTAAAGAATCTAACTATTTAGTCTTTCTACTAGAGAGCTTAACTATATACTATAGCTACTTTAAAGCTATAGTTTATAGAATTTATAAGTAGATTAAGTAAGTACTACTTATAGTACTTTTAAGTAGAGATTTATTTATATACTTTAAAGCTATATTTAAAATATATATACTAAAGCTTTTTTAAATTACCTTTAAAGTATTATATTAACTATATTACTTTATTCTAGTTTTCTTTTAGCTCTTTAAGTAGTAAGTAGAAAGCTATTTTATAAAAGTAAATAAACTCTTAATATTTCTAAATATTCTTACTTTAGTACCTTATTAGATCTTTTAGTCTTAGCGTATACGTAGTATACGCTATACTAAGTACTATAGTAATATTAATTAGGTACCTCTTTTAAGAGTAGAGACTTAATAGATTATTTATATCTTCTAACTACTAGCTAAAAAGAAGAATTAGTATATAAAGCGTAACTATAAGTAATAGTACTTACTTTACGTTACTAGAAGCAGTAGAAAATAGCTTATATATTTTAACTATAAGTATAAGTAGTAAAGAGAATAATTCTTACTTTACTTTAGAGAGCGAGGCGCGCCTTATAAGTATATATAGCGCGTACTTTATTCTTCTAGAGAACGTGTGCCTCTAGTCTCTATTATATATATGCGCTATAGAGCTATCTTAAATAAATACAATACTTAAAGTAAAACTATTTTAGATACTAAAACGTTAAGTTATCTAATACTAACTTATAGTAATTACCTATTAATAGTAATATTAGTAGTTACTTACTAAATATAGAGTATAATAATAAGTAACTAAAAGATACTAATACTAATAGTAATAACTCTAGTAATAAAGATAATAAACTTATAGTAGAGAAGAGTATAATTCCTAATCTTTTTACTAGTAACGTAGATATTAATAGAATCTATAAAAGTATATAAAGTGTTAGTAATACTAAGTTATTAATACCTACTATTACGTCTACTCTAATTAATAAAGTTAGTAATACGTAACTACTTTTAGTACTTATATTCTTTATACTTTTCTTAAATAGAGTAGGTAACTTCTTTTAGCTACGTCTAAAGTCTATTAACTTTAATATACTTATATACTATCTTCTTCTATATAAAGATAGTTAATTTACGTAGTATTTACACTTTTATTATATAGTATTTAATACTTAAATACGTAAAAGTATTAATACTAAGGCTAAGTTTTTTATTAATAAGCTTTAGAAAAGTAGTAAAGACATAACACTTAAAGACTTCTAGAATACTTTCAATAATAATAGTACTTAAGCTTAATTTCTTATTAACTCTATTACTACTTATAGTAGTAGTATACGTAGTATATAACTATTCTAGTATAGAAAGTTAAAGAGTCTTAAAGCTATGATTTATCTACTTAGCTATCTAAATCTATTTATTATACTATTACTAGCAGACTATTATTAGGAGGACTTTATATAATACTACCTTTAGTACTAAGAGTAGCTTAACGCTAGCTAGAATATATAAATATAAATTACGTAGAAGTATATTTATACTAATCTACTTATTATAGCTTACTAGTTTTATTACTAAGTTATAGTAATTAAGAAAGAGGTATTAAAAAAGTACTTTAATATCTAAGACTTTTAGTTTTACTTTAAATAGTAGAAGTAAAGTAGTCCTTATATCTATATACTCTACTAGTATTAAGAGATACCTAAGCCTAAATTACCTTATAGTGTAATCTTTATAGTAGAGTAATAGTAGTAATTAGTATTATTTACGAAGTTTTTTAAAATATATATTATAGTAGTTAACTCTTATTATTATATAGCGCCTCTCTAAGACTAGTATATACTAATAGCGTTACTATTTAAAGATTAAATAAATATAATAAATTCTATAGCTAAGCTATTAAACTACTTTTACGTTTACTTATATAGTATAACCTACTACTTTATAGTTTCTAAGAGTATATAATATAAAAAATAAAATATAAACTATAAGTATTAATTTAGCTATAAGAAGCCTCTTAACTAGATACTTTATATTATTATTCTACTTAGTAAGATATATTATTACTTTAAAGTAGTATGTAATAATAGATAGCTTACTTTTTATAACCTCTTACTTATAGTATTATAAATAGCTAATACTAATTATTAACTCTATACTAGTACTACTAGCGTTTTAGTATATATTACTAAGTATACTATAAAAAAAAAGTAGTCTTTATTTTATAAATAACTTATAAAAGCTCTAGTACTAAATCTTAATAAGAGTACTTTTATCTAGAGTATAGTTACTAAGACTATAATGTAACTAGTTAGAAAGTAAGACTAGTTAGCTAATAAAGTTATATATTTATTATTAATATTAAACCTATCTTTATCTTCTTATAATATTGTCTACGTTAACTATAAGAGTAAGAAGAACTAACTTATAATATACTTTAATAATCTAAAGAGTAGTAAGCTAACTATAATATATATATTATTATAGAAGTATAAAGAGTAACCTAATAATCTTAAAGGTTTAGCTTATTTTAAATTTATTTAACGCTATAACTTTAATACTTCTAAGTTTTAACTACGTGTATCTTTACGCGTACTAAGGTACTATCTATA